CGATGAACGTGGGTGTGCATATGTCTATTCGTGTGACGGCTCTTATTTCTCTAGGATATATTCCTAGGAGTGGGATTGCTGGATTGTATGGTATTTCTATTTCTAGCTTTTTAAGGAAACGCCATATCGTTCTCTAAAATGATTGTACCATTTTGCATTCCCATCAGCAGTGCATAAGAGTTCCAATCTTCCCCCAGCCTTTCTAACATTTATTATTTTCTGGTTGTTTGATTTGTGCCAGTAATGTCAGGGTGAAATGGTATCTCACTGTGGTTTCGATTTGCATTTCTCTAATGGCTAGTGATCACGAGCATTTCCTCATGTGTCTGTTAGCCGCCTGAACGTCTCCTTTGGCAAAGTGTCTGTTCATATCCTTTCCCCATTTTTTAATTGGATTGTATGTCTTTTAGTTGTAGAGGTGTTGGATTTTCTTGTAGATTTTAGAGATTAGATCTTTGTTGGATTTGTCATAGCCAATTTTTTTTCCCCAGTCTGTAGGTTCTCTTTTTACTCTTTTGGTGAAGTCTTTTGATGAGCGTTTTTAATTTTTAGAAGATCTCAGTTATCTAGCTGATCTTCTGGTGTTTGTGTATCGTTATATATTGTTTGTGTATTGTGTGTCCTGTTTATGCCGTGTATTACGGCCTCTACCGTTGACCCTTAGAGCAGCTAATTTGATCTGTTTTATATATAGAGGTTCCATGTAAACTCTCATTTGGAATAAACATTTCTTCTGCTCCTTAAAAAACAAAAATGTTAACCACCAAGCCAATCCAGGGCCCTTGTTTATATGTTGACTGAGCTGCTCAGGGGCATTCAAAGGGCGCCAGCTTGGGCAGCACAGGGGGCAGGCCTTGGGGCAGACAGGCCCGAGTTCAAATCCCAGCTCTGCCCCTTACTAGGACCCAGCCAGTCCCCTCCCCTCTCTGAGCCTGTTTCCTCATTCACCAAATGCAAACGGTGACTCCTTGCTCACAGAGGCAGAGCCCGAGGGATGCCCAAGGTGAACGGCCTCCCTTACGGAGCACCCCTGGGTGGCTGGCCAGGGTGGCAGTAAGGGTGGGGTTCGGAGAGTACAGTGCCCCACCCAACTCCCAGAACAAAACAGGCAGGACCCCACACCTCCCTGGAAAAGCTTGCAGACTTGGTGGCGCCCATGGGCCAGAAGGGTGGTGGCTGGAGGGGACTCAGGGCCTGGCTTCCTTTGCGCCCAGAGGGACTGATAATTATAAAACCACATGGGCTGCGGTGGCTAGTGGGGCCGGTCCAAGGATGCTGGGCGCGTAGGAGCCCCTACGGCTTGTTGGAACAGCACAGGGAATGTTTTTGGAAGAAAAATCAGGATGACGAAACCACCATATGTCCACCCATTAGGAGCTTTGCACTTTTCAAGAGACACACCCCGGTGTGCTGGGGTGGGTGGGGGACTGGGCCTGTGGGGCTGCCAAGAACTAGCTGGCGGAGTGGAGATGCTCAACTCCCACCATCCCATCAACCCCCTCCCCAAAGCCACCCCAGCAGACACACCAAAACCAAAACTAAACCCATTGCTGGACCCTACAGGCCAGAGTAGAACTGCCCCACAGGGTTTTCAAGGAGCACCTGGTGGATTAGAACTGCCGACCTTTTGGTTAGCAGCTGAGCTCTTAACTACTGCGCCACCAGGGTTTCCAGTAGACACACAGTTAAATAACTATGTGCTGGAGCAGTAGGAGTCCCTGTCTGAGCTCACACCCAGAGGCGCCTCAGAAGAAAGACCTGGTGATTTACTTCCGAAAAATCAGCCACTGAAAATCCCATGGAGCACAGTTCTACTCTGACACACTGGGGGCTCCGTGAGTTGGAGTCGACTCTGGTCTGGAGCAGCTGAAACCAAAAAAAACCATGCCTGCTGCCTTCGAGGTGATAACCAACTTACAGCGACCCTACAGGCCAGAGTAGAACTGCCCCATAGGGTTTCCAAGGAGCACCTGGTGGATTTGAACTGCTGAATTTTTGGTTAGCAGCCATAGCTCTTAACCACTGCACCTCAAGGGCTTCCAGAGCAGCTAAGGCAGCTCTAAATGAGCTCTCCCACCCTCCAGCGACACTGCTACCCCGTGGTCTTCCTGGACAAATGCTGGAGCCACCACTGGCAGACAATGTGCCTCATTGTCCTTCACACCTGTTGTCCCCTGTACCCAAAGACACAGTGGCCCTGAGACAGACATGGCTTGCCTAAGGCAAGAGTGGGGGCAGGATCCCCGCTCCCTGGCTCCCCGGGGTAGGCGCGTGGCTGGGACAGGAGTGGCCTGCCATTCTTGTAAGTCCCGCAGGACCATCTGCTCAAAGCAGCCTCCCAGGGCCAGCGCTGGGAAAGTCTTGCTTTCAGCCACAGGGGCTGCTGATTGTCTGGACCCTGTGGAGGCTGGGGGTCTCAGAGCCCAGGCCCAGGAGGCCTAAGACGTGGCTGTGATGCTACAGAGCCTCAGAGCCTGCCTTGTGCCGAGCTCTTTCCAGACCCAGGCGGGTGTGCTCTGGGGGACCAGGTTCCCTGTCACTTGCCTGCGTTGGACTCTGGGGCCCCGCCCCGCCCCCAGCACCTTCCTCTTTTGTTGGGGTTTCTGCTCTTATCTGAACCTTCCTCTCTTCCTCTCTTTCTGCTAAGCCTGGGTCCTGGGTCGTTGAAATGAGCTTCCTTTCTCACCATCCAAGGCCTTCTCAGAGCCAATAGCAAGTTCACCGAGGCCCAGCCCCTTCCCTGCCCCTGTCCCCAGCACCTGGGGGCCACACCGTGCCCTTCTGCCACCAGGCACTGAGCTGGGCCCAGAGCCTGGGACTCAAGCAGGGTCTGGACCAAAGGAAGGAGCTGAGGCTGGCATCTGAGAGCTGGGCTCGGCTGTACCACCCAACCTTCCCAACCTCAATTTATTCGTCTGCTAAGGGAGGGTAATAATAGCTCCCTCCTCTGACAGGGCACAGATAACAGAAATGCCAAGAGCACCACAGGAATGCAAGGTGTCAACATCATGACCTGCTTCCCTCAGGGTTGGGTGGGAGCTGGCCCGCCACTGCCAGCATCTCAACCCCAAAGGGGCTGGGTAGGGGAGGCAAGAGACCGGGTGGGGCGCAGCAGAGGTGGATGACCCAGTAAGCAAGGTAAGTACAGGCTGACTTGTGCTTGCTTACTAATCTATAGTGAACAATTTCACATGAGATGTGGTGAAAAATATGTGAAATTGTTCACTACAGATTAGTAAGTAAGCACAGGTAGGCCTGTGCTCACCTTGCTTACTGGGTCATCTGCCCTTTTAGGGATTGTAAATTGGAAAAGAGGCTTTGATCCTGTAGGAAGGTGCTGTGGGGATGGGAGAGAGACAGATACCAGCCATACCTAAAAGCAGAATTTTTGATGTGGTGAAAAAGTGTGAAATTGTTCACAGATGATCTGGTAAGCAAGGTAAGCATTGTGCTTATCTTGCCTGTTGGATAATCTGCCCCTGGGGGAGGCGAGAGGCTGGGTGGGCCTCAGGAAGTGGTGACCACAGTGGAGGCATTTGTATGGAGAGGCAGTGGGAAGAGGGAGAAGAAGAGAGCGGCCAGCTGCCCAGGTTGGCTGGGGCCCAGGCTCTGGGGTGGAGTGCCTCCTCCCCCATCTACCTGTTCAGACTTGGGGAGTCTTTACCCATCCACTAAGCATCTACAGAATCTGGCCACGGGCCTAGACTGTGCAGGGCTCCGTGGGGGCAAGGCCAGGCCTCTGGTGGCCCAGGCGGTCTGGGTCACACCAGATTGGAGAAGAGATCTGCTGGGGCAAAGTGGGCCCGGGCCAAGGGCTGTCTCTGCCCAGCAGGGCCGGAGCACGGCCACTTGCTGAGGCTGGCACAGGGATCCAGGCACCGATGTGGTCTTTCAGGACATTCTGACCCCAGATCTGCAAAGGAGTAAGCAGGGAGCCCAATCTTCCTTTACAGACAAGGAAACTGACGCTTGGAAAAAGGATGTGACAAAAACGAATACGAGATCAAATAGAATCAAGTGCCAGTCCCTGCTCTGCCCAGCACTGCCCTTGGCAGACCTGCTTTTGTTGGCTGGGACTCAGTTTCCCTTCCTCTGTACTATGTGGCATGGATTCTGATGGGCCCACAGGATGGGCTTTTCTGATAACTCAGCATGCAGAAGGTTAAGGGACTCACTGGAGGTCACACAGGGCTTGAGGCAGGACCCAGTGACCTTGCCAATCTAGTCCTTGATTGCCGACTCCTGAAGACTGGGTGTCTAAGAAGGGCATCAGAGAAGGGGGCCCATCGTCTGGCCCAGGACTTTTCCCCTACCCGCCAGCTCCCTAGGAGATGGGGACTTGGTCGCATCCAAACCACCTACCCCTCCCCCGGTCTCTGGCGCCCCGCTGTGGTCTCAGAGGGCAGAGCCCCTTCCTATCTCCCGTAGGCCCCTCCCCAGTCCCATCCCACAACAAGGGCCCAGAATCCTTCAGCTGAGAACCAGGTCAGTTGGCTCAAACCATCCAAACTCCTTCCTCCCCACCCCAGCTCCCCAAGAGAAACTGAAGCAGTGACGGGATCCCCAGGTCTGGGTTTGGATCCTGGCTCCCCTTCCCCCAGCTGGACTCTCTTTCCCGATTTCATGGACTGTGGGGACCAAATAGATGACCTGGTGGGAAGTGCTTGGGGTGGCGGGCGGGGGCGCACTTCAGCTCTACAAGCATTCACAGCAGAGGCTTCTCCCTCCCAATGGGGAACTGATCTTGCCCGCCAGGAGGTGCTGGTGTGAGGGGGAAGGCAACCCCCAAACAAACCTTGTAATGAAAAGAATTTATTGTCTAAAGCCACTAAAATGCCCTACCCTTTGACCTCTCATTTTGGACACACCCACGACCGCATGGTGTCTAGTCCAGCTCAGCTGGACACAGGTAGAAATCAGAACTACCACTGGACAAAGTCAGCCCCTATCCTCCTGGAGTCCTCCAGCCTGTCTCCGACCTCTTCTTGCCCTTCTCACTCTAGGCCTTACTCCCCCTAGGCTTAAAAAGTCTATGTTGGAAGTACCAGCCCCGGTCTCTCCAGTGTCTACCTCCGAGCCTTCTCACCCTCAGCCCTTCAATTCTCCCTCATCCTTCCCAGGCCACAGTGTGCCTATCTGCTAACTGGGTGTAACCATCTTTGCCCCAGCTATCTGTCTCCCAGGTCTGCTGTAAGGATACAAATAAAGTGAGATCAGAAACTGGCGAGCGCTTTCAGGGTTGGGGGAGAAGGGTGTGCCAAGAGCGGGCCGGCGTCCCGGGAACTACAACTCCCATCGGCTCCGGGCCCGCGGGCGTCCCCAGCCCCTCTCCCAGCGCCAAGGGAGAGGCCGCCGCTGCCCGGGGGGCGAGGGACGTTGCAGTGCCCCGGACATCCCTCACCTAGGTTGAAGGCCGGCGAGGACCCTGGCAGGGCCGGGGCTGGAGCCGCGGCAGATCCTAGGCGGTCTTTCCGGCCCCCACGGGACCCCTCCTGCCCCGCCCCACCCAGGAGTTACTCTTCGGGACCCGCCCCCCCACTTCCTGGCCGGGAGTTGGCACCGCCCCGGTGCGCCTCCGCCCTCCCACCTTTCCCTCCAGCCGCGGCTCCCATTGGCCGGCGCGCACCTGCCCGTCCGTCGAGGGGCGGGGCGCGGCGCCCAGGTGAGGGCGCGCAGGCGGTGGCTGAGAAAGGTGACAGCGGGGAGGGCGAGACGGCAGGGGAGGACGCGCGGCTGGACCGACGCACTGACCGGTGGGCAGGCATGCGGGCGGTCCGGCTCTAGCCCGGCGCGGGGCTCCGGCCGCAGCCATG